ATATAATAAATATATTTCTATATTCCTGATACAATGGGAAATCAATTTATTTTATTAAACTAGCTAGCCACACCAAAACTTCAAGTTTATTGACATTTCCATTTACAACGTTTTTATTTCCCTGTCAAATCAGCTGAACTTTATAGCATAGAGTTTATCCTCCACATAGCCGATCTCTGTGGGTTGCAATCAGAAAAGAAATGAAATCGTAAAAGCACAGTTTTCGCTTAACTGTTTAGCTAGCAGTACAGATTCTTTGAGAAAAGCATGCAGTAATATGTTAAACTTTATAACAAAGGTGAAAAAACGAAACTGCTTTTTAAGTCCAAACTCCTTAGTTGAAACCTTGCTGACGATGAATTTATGCCAAAGCTACTTGTCGAAACAATCAGAATTTGTTAGTGGAAAGCATGACTTAGTAAAATAAAAATAAAAAAATCAATTATTTTCTACTCTAAAATTTCATAAAGCATTATTATTTTATGCATTCACATAAAAGCACATTAATATGATCGTATTAAAAACCAAAAGTTAAAATAATATTATACTCGCTTATTACACTCAAGAGGCCTGGGTCTGTAAAATATTTGGCCTAAATATTTGAACCGTTGAGAGGAATTATGCTAAGGTTTATTTATCAAAGTTAACTTATGATTTGATGTAATATTTATAACTATCTCTATATTCCACACTGTTTTGACATTTTATTTTCAGGGCGACTTGATTGTAATTGTGATCATGGTGGCAGTCACGCTACTAATATCTCTGGTTCTTATCGTGGCTATACTATTTCTCCGTTGCAATAAAAGTTGTCAACACAACCTGACTTCGGTTACTGGACTGGGGAGGTCCCAGCATCCCGCATTTCATGGGGATCGCTCGCAACATCTGCACAATGCTCATTCCTATGCAGGAACTGGCTGCTCTCCTGTCGGTCTCTATTCACCAAGTCTCAATGGCTCACCCATGCACGCTAGTACCAATTCTCAGCGTGTTAACTTTCATGCCGGGCTAGTAAACTCCGACAGTCTGCGACATACTCTACCGCATTCACACGTAGCAGGGTGTCTTGCGACCGAACTATATCGCCGTAGGTTTGATGATGCTGGTGAGGGAGGGGTCATTCTGCAAACGGGAACCCTGCATTCTGAAAACATTTTGTCTCCACAAGACGTACGAGCAACATCTGAGGCTCTGCAAGGTAATGATGTTCACAGTCTGGTGTCAAGTCCTAGCGGGAGTGCCTGGCTGACAACTATCGCTAATACGCTGATGTCCAGTGGAAGTGAGGCCTTAGTCACCAGTCTCCCTGGTAACTGTCTTGTCAATGGTGGAAGTGTAAATGTGGCAGGACTGGATAAAGTTGGTGAATATAGATGCGAAGCGGTTCTGCCGACCACGGGGTGCCCCTTTTCCGAGTTCTCAGGCACCATATTTGACCAAAACGCAAAAGGCACAGTTCATCTACCAGGGAAAGAGAATATTAGAGAGCAAGCGCATTTATTTATGACACACGAGCACCAATCGGCCGATGGCTACTGCACAGTAGCAAAACGAGATAAATGTGAGGATTCGGACACTCTTTATCCAATGAAATCTACTGTTTCTGGAGTGGGAACCATGGAGACAGAGGGTTAGTTTTTGAGATCATGAGTTTTCAAAATATGTGATACAACAAAATTAGTTCCTTGAAAGCAAAAAAACCCAAGAATTTTATTTATTCGCCAAAGCGTGCTAAGAACACGACTTCATGTAGAATAAAAATCAACCATATAAGTACAAACACTTCAAAGGATAGGATTCTCTGTTATTAGATTAGATATAAATAAATAAATAAATGAATATATTATGTAAATGTATATATATATATATATATATATTTATATATTTATAGAGAGAGAGCTTAAATATTCTTATACTTAATTAACAATCCTAAATACTTAAAAATTCCACTTTTGCAAAATAATTTAAAGTATTAAAAACTAACATAAAAATTTAAATGAGTAAGAGAAATTTAGATTAATTTTGAACTTAACCCAGTGTCTGTAGCGAAAACTATTGAAGAATACTTTAAATAGATGCGGTTAAAATAAAACCCAATTTTAATTTCGCTCCTCAGAAGTTTATAGAAAGAATATGGAACTGAAAATAATAATTCACCTAATGTTAATAATTGATTTATCCATAAAACGGTTTAAAAGCGTAATTTATATAATTAATTTTTATTTTTATCTCTGACAATACCCATTTTGGATAAAATTCAATATTTTCATACTTCGTTATCAAGGGATTTTGTGAATTCCTTATTGTACTAGATCATTTGGTGACTGAAAAATAGTATTATAAAAATTTTAGGATACATTATATATCCATGGATAAACTGGCCTGTTATTCAAGTAAATTAATTTCAGTAGACTTTTTTAATAGCAATTTTTGTAAATGGATAAAAATTTAAGATAAGGCGTAATTTAGGTAAATATATGTTTAATTAAATAAATTGAATTATTTAAATACCTTGCATTTGTTATGGTGCTAAATTTTGTCTATTATTTATCCGGATGTGATTTATTTCACGTATATTCGAAAGCTTAACCTGGCAAGGCAATCAGATAAAAGGCACATTGAAATTCAATGAAATCGTCTGTGTGTTCTTATCCACAACGTTATAATTAAAACTTCGCAGGCGTCAACATTCTCTAGCAAGGAAAGACGTGTCTGATTCTGATAAATCTATCTTAAGACTTCACTTTTGCTTCTTTCAACTAGCATGATATGGCCTGAGAATATACTTATTGCGATTTTCGTTTCTTAATCCCTACTTAACCATTTCGTTAAGTACTTTAATTAAATTTTACGCAAACTACTATTGATATTCTCGATATCTCACAAGTTTGAATGTCTTTGAATTACAATAAGATTTTTCAAAATTATTTCTTGCCCTATAATTTTAAAGTATTATGTATATTGCGAGATCTTCTTATGATAGAATACGTCTAAGGAAACTCGATCTATTATTCGAGCCAATACATATGCTTTCTATCCAATACTCACACATATTATATAAAATTATTTTTTGTATCCAAAAGGTCAGATATATTAGTACATACTTGCATAAATATGGAATAAATACAAAAACAATTTTAGACATTTCTATCGTTTACAATTTAAAACATTTAATGATTTTATATAAAAATATGTGAGCCACGTTCTAGGCCAAACTTCAGACATTAATAAAATGCAAACAGGATATACATCTGTTATTAGTTACTTTCCAAAATACAAGAGATAACGCAGCCGTTTCATAGTCTTGAAATAAAACCAGTTAAAATACTTTTTTTCAAAAAGAGAAAAACTATTTTTTTAAATAAAAACTTTACTGTTTTTTTAGCTCGGTTGTTTCTCTTGGAATTTTATACAAAAATATATATCTTTTCTACACTAGTGTTTGCATCTATATAATTAAAAATTCATTTTTATCTTTGTTTTAATTATTTGATTTATTTGATACTAGAGTGGTGAATTTGCCAAAGCCAGCTTAAATCGGTCTAATTTCAGGTATACTTCGACAAATATATCGAATAAAGAGATTTGTAATCCGATTAAATTTACATAAAGAGTTACTATGTCGCAAGGTTTTGCATTTAGTTTGGTATATTTCTTGTTGATATTATAAAATAAGCATGATTATTAAGAATAGTCAGAAAATATTTTTTATAATTATAATCACCTTACTAGGTAAAAGCTATAAATATTCCGGTTATACCATCTGTCATAAAGTTAGTTTAAAAATCGATGTTCTAACTATATTTATAAAAGTTAAAATACTTATGTGCTCTGATCCAGTAGATTAGATTTTAGTCCTTAGTTCAAATTTTTATTAGCTGCTATCCAGAGTCTGGTTATTGTAGAAGTGTACCAAAAACAGATATAAATGACATTTACATTTAAATAGAATATGTATACACTATGAATTTCTTAATAAAAGTTCCTACCGATTTTCTTTTAAAGAGCTTGGTTAAAACAACTATCTTTTCTAGTCTTAATTCCCAAATATTACATTCGTTTGAAAATGAGTTAAATTTGAACGCATTTATTGTTCTGATGAACTAAATAATAAGGATAATTAGAAGCTTATCAGAAGGTTTACGTCGATTATGTAGCTACTTAGATCTTTATTAATTCTTAAATAAAATCTTTATCTGACCTAAGTTGTCTAGATTTATGGCAGCCGAATTACCCCATTAATATGAGTGTACCTTCTGATATTAAAAAGAGTCTTCCTTTATAATATCAACTGCAGATCCTACCCGCACCTTGACCCCAAGAATAATCACCACGGCATAAAAAATCGGTTTTTGAATGACAAGCGGAAACTTCACCGTTCCGCCACACACTTAGATAAACAAAAATGCATACACTTTAATGTCATGAAAATCCTCACTGAGATTACAATTATTTTACCTTGTCCATTGTAATTAAAGGTAGCATTATTTAAAGAATTAAAAGGGCTTTCGAACAATCGATGTAATAAAGTTTGGGAAATCTGACAGGAAATATCATATATTATTGTAATATTAGCTACTCTAAAAATAATATAACTGTTAAAACAAGATAAACTTAACCAAAGTTTGTCTTAGAAGTCTTAAGATACTATTTCTTTTTGGTGTAAATAAGGCATATATAAGAAGTTTTGTCTAGTGAGTATATATGGCAAATATCAGCCTGAAAAAGTAAATTATCGTACAAATTTAAAAATTATTTATGTTATAAGAGAAATAGTAAACCTTTATATAAAGTATTTAGATATAAAAGTTGAATATT